GGGGGGGGGGGGGGAGCCCGCTTAAACCAGGATGCAGTGAGTGCGATCAGCAGGGTGTGAGGAAGGCCGTGTGCGTGTGTCGCGAGACCGAAAACCCTCTCCTCTCTGTCCTTTGTTTGTCTACGTGGCTGACGGGCTGACAGGCAGGCAGGCAGGCAGCGATACCAACTAAGTCTATCCCTCTCTCGTTCTTTCTTTCTGTCTGTGTGTGCCGTGCGGTCTGCTGGGCATTTCAAAGCAGATCGCCAGTCAGCCAATCTATGCTACACCCACCACCACTGACCACTGCACTGAGGCCACTGAACACACCACACCACAGCCCACCACACCACACCACACCCTCGCAAGTAACCCACGCCGCCCTGCACTGAGTGAGTGAGTGAGTGCCTTCACAAATATTCACGGATGCATCTAGGCAGTGAGAGGGGGGGGGAGGGAGGGACAAAGAGAGGGAGAGGGAGAGGGAGGGAGCTTGTCCATCGGCCGGGAACGGGAATGCACACACCACATCATTGCATGCCTCAGAATGATGCACCAACGACAGATAGTGGCATGGCGGGAAAAAGATGGACACGCCCCAAGCAACAGCACTGTCTGTCTGTCTGTCTGGAGCTGCTGCTGCTGCTGCCTTCAAAACGACGCACAGGACCCCCGCTGTGCTGTCCATCAGCAGTATGTGCAGCCCAGCAGCAACGAGACACCCTCCCCACCCCACCTGCCCCCTCCCCTCGCCCAGCCCACACCTGGTACACTCCCCACCCACCCGACGAGTGTGTGTGCGCTCGGTTGGTCAGGGTTTGTAGGGTGGTGGAAGGCCGGCCGCCTGGCTGGTGTATGCCGCCGGGTCGTCGGCATATCCAACGGTTTCACCATCGGGAGCGACGGCGCCACTGTCGTGGAGGGGGAGGGGCTCGCCGTTGTTCTGTTGTTCCTCTTGTGGTGCTGCTGGGTCGTGCTCGTGTTGGTCGTCCATTGCCTCGGCCTCGTAGTTGTCGTCTTCTTCCTCCTCCTCCATGCCCTCCTCCTGCCCGTCTTGCTCCTCCTGATGCTGATCAGGCTCCATCAGGTCCTCGTCGTAGGCCTCGCCGACGACACCATCGCGAGAGTGGTCGGCGTCCAGGTCCATCGCTCGCTGCCGGCCGTCAGCAGCGCCACCCGCACCACCCGCACCACCACGAGTGTTGTGGTGGTGGGCATGAGCATCTGCATCTGCACCCTCCTCCCCCTCCTCGGCATCGCCCTCCTCCTCATCATAGTCGTCTTGTTCGTCCTCCTCCTCCTCGTCATAGCCCTCCCCCTCCGACTCCTCACACATGATAGGGTTGCCCTCAGACTCGCCCCTCGGGTGGTCACGCCGCTCTAACGACTCGAGCCGCATGCCCTCGTAGCCGCTCATATCAGAAACCCGCCGGCGATCAAGTCGCGCGCCTTCGAAGGCGCTCAGGCCACCGACACTCGGCCGCCAACGACGACGTTGGCCGACCCCCACCCTCGGCTGGTCGCCGCTGTCCACCGACTCGCCGTCGCCCTCGCCCTCCTCGTCGGCATCCTGGGCATGCTGCTCGAGGTCCTCATATCCATTGCCGCCATCCTCGTCGGCCTGGCCTCCCATCGAGCCGCCTGACCCCGATGAGTACTCGGCCCCGGCCATCCTGTCGTCATGCAGGGTGGCCTCGGCGTCACCGTCCTCGAACTCCTCACCCCACTCATCCTCGTCGTCGGCATCGTCGGCCCCCTCCAGCTGGGCGGCGCGACGGTCCTGCTGCCGGTGCTGGTGCTGGTGCTGTGGGTCCACCTGGCTGGGGCTGGTCTGCTTGGTGCGGCCGCGGGCGTTGGTAGAGGACGGCTGGGCGTATCGGTAGGCCGCCGCCGACGCGTGCATGACCCGATACTCGCCCCGATACTCGCTACTCCCTCCATGTGGCGGCAGCAGCCTGCGGGGGTTCTGCCCCCTGTGGTTGTCGGCGCCTGTGTCAGGAATCTGGATGACGTCCTCGACGCTCCCGCCCCTGTCTCTGCCGACCTCATGTATCAGGGCGTCCTGCAGCTCCACGATCGACCCCGACACGTTGTTGGGCTGACCGCGGTTCCGACCCCGGCCGCCACGGCCCAGCACCCCGGAGCGGCCCGCAGGTTGGGCGACTGGGACGTTGTTGTCGGAGGTTGATTCGTCGTCATCCTCCTGGTCGTCAGCCTGCCGGCCCCCACGGCCGTATCCGATGTCTTGGTCCCATCCGGCGATTGGCGCGCGTCCGATGGGGTAGGCGTAGCTGCCCTCGTTCTGGTCGTTGTCGAGGACGGATGCGCCCCCCACCACCGCCCCAGGGCCGGGCAGCATAAGGGCCCCGAGGTTGTTGTCCTCGCTCAGCCGATACACCTCCAGCAGGCTCTCGCACTCGTCGATCTTGCTCTGCGTGATGGCCGCCCGGATGGAGTGGAGCGTGCTCTCGGTGCCCAGCCGCTTGAGGCCGTCGAGGCAGAGGCGATACCGGCCGTAGTCCATGGGCGAAGTGGCGCCGTCATCCTGCCCCCACTGGCTGTCAGAGTTGGCAGTCCAGTCGTGCATGTAGGCGTCGTGGTAGAGCTCGCCGAGGTCGTTCGCGTAATGCTGGACCTGCTGGAGCCATGTGTGGGGGTGCATGGGGTCGTACGTTGAGATGAGTATGTCGATGAGGTAGCGGGGGACGTTGAGGGCGTACTCCTCCAGCTGGTCGTAGACGTCAATCGAGTCTTGGTACAGGTCACTCGGCTGCAGCAACTCTGGTGGACGAACATAGACACAGAGAGAGGCATTGGGTCTTGGGTGTGTTGGGGTGGGTGGGTGTGGATGTGATTGTCCCTCCCTCCCTGACTGACTCACTGACTGAAGTGACTCACTCACGCACCGGTTCTGATCCATGGCTGAGTGTAGCCGAGGTTCCGAAGCGTCTCGATGGCCTCAAAGATATGCGTGGGCCACCGGCAGTGTGGCCCCCCCTGGCAGACCAGATCGTTCTCTGCACCAACCAACCAACCAACACAGTCACGACGCGCAAACACATGCATAACATGTACGCAGCAGACTCCCTCCCTCCCTCTCTCGCTCACTCTCCCCCTCACCCCTGAGGTCGATGACGAGTGGCGGCGTCTTGAGGATTTCCGCCTCCTCCTTGGCAGCGGCCTCTGCCCTCTTGTCGAGCGCCTCCCGGCGCCGCTTGGCCTCTTGCTCGTCCTTGGGTGGGGGCACGGCCTCGGCGTCCCACTCCTCCCACTTCTTGTGGCGCCTATGCTTGTCGTGGGCCAGCTGCTCGTCGCGCTCCTTCTGGGCCTTCATAAAGGCCAGCCAAAGCCGCTGGAGGAGACCGTGGTTATTATCCAGCCCGCTGAGGTCAAGCACGTCCACGCCTGATGGATGGATGGATGGAGCGACCGAAAGTTAGGTTTCGATACCCATGGCTGCCTGTCTGCCCGCGCTGCGTGTGTCTTCGTTCGTACCTCTGAGGTCGAGGTGAGTCAGCTGGAGGTGGTCACAGACGTACGCGAGGAAGT